CTACTTCCATTAGTTCTTACACCACTTCTACGACTTCTACTACTCCGGCTACTAGTACTATTACCACTTCATCTGCCACTCCTACTGTTGTTGCCACTACTACTACTACTACTACTACTACTACTACTACTACTACTACTACTACGACTATTACTTCCAGTACGACCAATACGCTGACGACTACTACTACCTCTACTACTACTGCTGCTGCTACTACTACTACTGTTACTACGACGGGTACTACTACGATTACTACTATAAGACTACGACTACAACTACGACTGCTACTTGCAGTGCTACAACTACTACTTTTGCAAATGTTCACGGCGAACACGACGACTACTACGACTACTGCCACTGCTTGTACTACAACTACAACAGCAGCTTCTATTACTACTCGTACTACTACGATTCATACTGCGACTATTACTATTACTACGATTACTACTACTACTACTACTACTACTTCTACTTCTACTTCTACTCTACTACTACTACTACTACTACTACTACTACTACTACTACTACTACTACTACTACTACTACTACTACTACTACTACTACTACTACTACTACTACTACTACTACTACTACTACTACTACTACTACTACTACTACTACTACTACTACTACTACTACTACTACTACTACTACTACTACTACTACTACTACTACTACTACTACTACTACTACTACTACTACTACTACTACTACTACTACTACTACTACTACGACTACTACTGCTACTATTACTACTACTACTACTACTACTACCACTATTGCTACTACTACTACTACTACTACTACGACTACTACTACTACTACGACTACCACTACGTGTACTACTACTGAGACTGCTGCTACGACTACGACGACTGATTCGTCACATGTACGAGTATTGCGACGAAGAGTTGTGCCCGCGGGTAGACGAGGCCAGATTTGTGCAAAGTTTTCGGGGATGCCTGAACGGATTGCGTCTAGGTTTGAGGAACGCAACTTCGACAGGGTTTTCAGATCCTTGATCGGGTCTCGCCTGGAGAAGCAGCCCTTCTGCCAGAATCCTCAGAAGCCCAGTAGGACCCACCAAAAGTCCACCTGGAAAACCACCCGCTCTCCCGGGGAATCAACCCTCATCCCGGAGAACAAACTCCTTGCCGCCTCCCTGGGGTCCATCGGCCCCTTGGGCGGTGGATGATAGATAGACCCGCGATTCGCTTGCAGTCGCAGCCTTGGGTCCGAGATTCGCAATCTCTCATCGCGGCAGTTTCGCGCTGCGTTGACGTGGCGAGATGTCAGCGCTGGCTATCAAGGTCGTGTTCCACCAGCGACCTGCACCGGACGAGCCTTGAACGGCCTCAGTTGTCGGCACGCTGGGGCCGTCCAGTATTGAATCATTTAGGCGGGGTCCAGAACAAGCGTCCGCGTTGTCACGACATGAGCCTGCCGTGCTCCCATTGTCTGGGATATGGAACTCTCGATTTCGAGCTGGCCACTGCCAGGTTATCAAGTTTGGTAACCAGCTTCCCGAGCTTGCGAAGCAGGCTCGGCCAGGCCAGATCTGAGGTTGTCAAACGATGCTTTTCTTAACCTTCACAGCGGGTGCCAAAAAAACATTGCAACGGGGTGCGACGACCATGACCGATGATGTTGTCGTTGAGGGATTTGTTTGTTTATGTGGTTTCTCGTCGGCACGATTGGAAGCACTTCGGAGAGTCGGCCAGGATGGATTCAGAACAAATATGGGAACCGGTCTTAAAAAATATGTAAGCCGGAGCGAATGGCAAGGGGGACTGTAAGAAGGCAAGGATCTCTCACAAAAAAGGGTTCTTCTCCCTCCTTCGGGGATTGTGATAATGCCTGGCAGAAAGGAGCAGCGCGCCTTCTTCGAAGGCCACCCCCCTCCGCATCCCCTGCTACTGCGCGCCACCAGCAATGTTGGCCCACACATCTGACGTCGCGTTCTGTTCCCCCCTTGTGCCCAACCCACAAGCTCTCGAAGACATCCCTAGCACCTGGGTTTCCGCGGTTGATTTTTGTTTGATGATTCCGGAGCCCGGACATGGCCCCCCGAATTCGAGATTACAGTGGAGACCCAAGCCAAGAACCACCCTGCTTGCATCCATGGTGCCCTGGGTTTCTCGGGTTTCGATGGTTTGGCTACGGGAAGCGTGACGTTCCCACACCAAACGTCAATGGACGTCCTGGGATCTCGGGTTGGGTGTCTGATGGAAGACTTCCTGTCGTCGGGCATCCACCGCAGGGACAAGCGCCCGTCGTCGGGTGTTTTTGACGTTCGAGGTCTGGGTCCCGGGAGGGCCCAGGATCGGTGTAACCTTGGCGGACCGTTTGTGGCCCTCTCGAGGACCGCCGACGTGCCGACGCCCGACTGGAGGCCAGGGCCGCTGGCCCGCCGCCCTTTGCCCCCTCGGTCAGGCAGCCACCAGCTCCGGCAGGAGGAATGGTGAGGTGGGGGAAGGAGGGAGTGGTGGGGGTGGAGGAGCCAAGGGGGGATGCGTGTGTGTTCGATCTACCTTCCGCGTGCTTCTTGCAGGCTCCGCTAGGCTCTGTCGGCTTTTTGAGGCTGTGGGGGTGGAGGTCCGGAGGAGCAGCACCGCCGACTGGTCTCTTGCCGTTCCTTCTTCTCCCCGTCGGCCTGGCTGAGCATGCGGCAGATGGCTGCGCCACTGGGGACGATCGAGGACGAGGATTGAGGATCGAGGACGATGATTTGGGAACGAGGCTCGAGAAGGATCGAGGATCGACTGATGGTTCTTCTCAAGAAGTGGCGAAGCGTCCTGGCTCGCCTCTAGCCCTACCAAACAATGTTCTAAGAACCTTTTGTGGTTTCCACCACAAAAGTTCGTGGAACATTTCTAGCGGAGTCTGTTTTGTTTTATCACATCGGGTTTCTGTTCTAAGAACATGGTTTTTGTTCTGAGAACCCGATTGGGCTACAAGAGAATTTCATGGTAGGACTACAGGAATGCGGGACGGTCGGTCCCTGCTCAACCTTCGGCGATTTGCGAGGGCCTGTGGGTGCCTCGGGAGCGTCCTCTCCATCTCTTTCTTCCTGCTCTCGCGTTGTCTGCTCTGTCGGCGTCTCGCTCCTTTGGCTGCGGAAGGCCGGCCGGCTCCTCCCCCGATTCGCCTCTTCTCTCGTCCCCACCTCCTCCCTCGCCTCCTCCAGGCGGCGAGGGCCGTGGGGGAAGAGGGATTGGCTCGGTGGAGCATGTAAGGGACTTGGCCTGACAATGGCTGCAGCGCAGTCAAGACGCTGAAGTAAGGACCGCTTTGGGCTAAGGAAGGGCTCTGGTTTTCGGGCTGTTCCTTAGATTGGTGTCTTAGACCCTGTTTGTGGCCTAGGCCCGCCGTGGCCAGAAGAGCCACTTCGTTCCGTATTCTGCCTTCCGTATGGTAGCACCTTGATTGTGTTCGGCGCGACCAGCCTGATGTACGTCCTGAGTGGCGTGCGCTGCTTCAGGCAATGGGCTGATAAGGCGGGGGGGGGTCAGGATGGGTGCTGCTGCCCATGCTGACATTCCAGGGCCGCCAACAACCTCCGAGAGCTCCAACGGAAGCTTCAAGGGCTGGCGACCACCGCCCAGGCATTTCCCATCGTCTCCAATTCGTCCCCTCCTCCCTGCTGCTGGCTCTGGATGCTGTCGCTATTCGCTGTCGAGCACATGAGGATCGCAGACGCGGGGTGACCCCGGGAGTCATTTGGGGGGTCTTTGATCGTTCCAGGCTTCGAGTTGTGAGGGAGGGAGGGGGCTGCGTCAGGGTGGGGAAGGAGGGGGTGAGTTGAGAAGGGGGTGTGGCAGGTTTGCGGCGTGCGGACGCTGTGGCGACGCCGCCGCGGGCGTCCGAGGTTGAGCGTCGCTTGTGGCCCATAATCGGCCAATATGGAGCAATGTGGCACGCTCTGGCGATCGAAAATCCGCATATTGTTTACGGTTGAGCGATCCGCGGCGTGTCAGAAACCCACGCCAGGGTCATCGTGGCACGAACTTGCCGCAGGGGCAGGGGGACTTGTGGTGAGCCGAGTGAACCGCCGAAGTTCGTGACGAGCGGGGTGGGCGGGGCTGGCTGGTTGATCAGCTTCTGTCGAACTGGCATGCTCAAGTTTCGGGTGCAGCTTCATGTTGGCAGGGAGCAATTGTCCGGGGAGGGCTGTGAAACGACCCTCCTTGCCGCGACGTTTCTGGGAACCGTGTCGCCAGCGCTGGAGCTCAGCTCAGTCAAGCGCCTCCGCCCCACTCCAGGGCCAGCAGCGAAGCGGGAGAGGCAGCTCAGAAGCTCCCCGTGGTGTGGAGGGCGCCAGCAGAGAGCACCGGCTTGGAGCTCGTCCACCCTTCTTGCGAGGCAGTTTCGCAGATGAGCCGATCGTCCGACTTGCAATCTTCATCGAAGACGCCTACGGCGAATCGCCGCTGCCTCCTGCATTTTAGGATACGCCTATGTGGCCGAGCGTTTGGGCAACGTTTGGCAACGCTGCCGGACCATGCGTTTCCCCAGCCGTTGTGGAGGCCCTTCGGGGAACAAGTGGATGAGGAAGAGGCGGATGAGGAGAGGGAAGACACAGGCGGATGGGGAGAAGGATGAGTAGACCTTGTTTGGGAGCTTCTTGTATCATCGCCCAAAACGGCCCAAGATACTCCCAAGACGGCCCAAGGAGCCCCCACGAGAAGTCCAAGAGGGCTCCAAGACGGCCCAACAGCGCTCGAAGAGAGCCCATGACCACCCAAGAGCGTTCCAAGATGGCCCCAGATGGCCTCCTGGACGGTCCAAGAGAGCCTCAAGACGGCTCCAGAGGCCCTCCAAAGGGCCCCCGAGAGGGCCTCAAGAGGCCAAACACATAGGTCTTCCTCAGGTTTTTGGAGGTGTTTCGGGTCATCGCCTTTTCTAACCCAGATCGGCCCAAGACGGCCCTAGAGGCCGCAAAGATCGTCCCGAGACGGCCCCAGAGGCCCCCCAAAGGGGACGCCCCCAAGACAGTCCGTAGCCTTCTGCATCAAGGCCTCTGGCATACCCCGCTTCGTCTGCGCACGCTCGGCCTCTTGCCGCTCCGCCCTTGCCGCGATGAACCGCGTGGTGCTCGCCGTGTGCGCCCTGGTGCTGTCCAGCCATGGTTGCGTCGCCGATGAGCAGACCACGACCATGGAGGAGCGCCGCCTGACGGACGACACCACCATGGCCGACGACACAACGAGCGCCGCGTCTCGCACCGGAAGCCCTGGCACCGTGCTCCTGGCGCTCCTCGCCTGTCTCTACGTGGGCAGCGCGGCGGGTGCGGCGCTGGACGAGTCCACCACGATGGCCGACGAGCGCCGCCTGACGGACACCACCATGGGCGACGACACGACGAGCGCCGCAGCTAGAGGCGGCGCCCTTGGCACCGTGCTCCTGGCGCTCCTCGCGCTCCTGTTCGTGGGCAACGCGGCTGGGGCAGCAGTGGACGAGTCCACCACGATGGCGGACGAGCGCCGCCTGACGGACACCACCGTGGCCGACGACACGACGAGCCCCGCGGCCCCCCGCGCGGCGTTCCGGACGGCGCCGCTGCTCGCCCTGGCTGCGGCGCTTGGTCTTGCAGCCCATCGCTAAGCCCTCCAAGCCTTGCTTGTCGAATTCCATTTTGGCCACTCCTTGTTTGGTGCAGCGGCAGCGAGCCCTCGCGAATGCCTGCGCTGCGGTCGAGGCATGTTGCCACGCCGCTCGTCTCCTCGAAAAGCGAGGGCCGGGAGGCGTGCAGTTGGTCACGGGCCATATCAAGCGTAGGCTTCGGCCGAAGCCAACCCCAGATGCAGCGGCCCTCGCAGAAGGCGCGGGCCGCCGCCGTCCCGGCGGGCGGCCGATCCACGCTGTCGTGCTACCCGTTCCCCGCGAATCTGAAGAATTCGGCCACGGACTTAAAGGGTTCCGTGCCGGATTTTCGGATACGGCATATGTTCAAGGCGGCAGCGAGTGCCAGGGTCGGCTTCCCACATCGAGCCCAGCTCTTGGATGCCCACACTACATGCCTTCGGATCAGCCAAAGTGCCAACTTGCCCTCGGACAACAAAAAGAGACGCCCCCAAGAACGCCCCCAAGACAGCCCCAAGAGGGCCCCGAGAGGCCCCTCAGAGGACCCCAAGCGGCCCCTAAGAAAGCCCCAAGACGGCCAAAGGCCTCCAAGCCGCCCCAAGACGGCCCAGAAGAGCCCCCGAGACGACCCAAGAGGGCCCCAAGACGGTCCAGAAGGGCCCCAATACGGTCCAAAAGGGCCCCCAAAGGGCCCCCAAGACGGCCCAGAGACGCCAAATAATAGAGCGAACTGTAACGTAAAAAGCTCTGAACACCAAGGCTCCCAAAAAGCGAGCGGTGCCAGGAGCTTTCTCGGGCACGTTTCTGCAACATTCTTTCTGTTCCTCCCGTGCCGGCCCAGGTGACGGAAAGAGCGAGGTACGAGTGATGACGTTCTGGTGGGGCGACGCGTTCTAAGGAGGGGCCCAGGGGAGTGGCGTAGGGTGGGAGATTCTGGATAACACCCCCCCCCCGCCCCCAAAGACGGCCCCAGAAGCGCCCCAAACGGCCCAAGATACTCCCAAGACGGCCCAAGGAAACCCCACGAGAAGTCCAAGAGGGCTCCAAGACGGCCCAAGGGCGCTCGAAGAGAGCCCAAGACCACCCAAGAGCGTTCCAAGATGGCCCCAGATGGCCTCTTGAACGGTCCAAGAGAGCCTCAAGACGGCTCCAGAGGCCCTCCAAAGGGCCCCCGAGAGGGCCTCAAGAGGCCAAACACATAGGTCTTCCTCAGGTTTTTGGAGGTGTTTCGGGTCATCGCCTTTTCTAACCCAGATCGGCCCAAGACGGCCCTAGAGGCCGCAAAGATCGTCCCGAGACGGCCCCAGAGGCCCCCCAAAGGGGACGCCCCCAAGACAGTCCGTAGCCTTCTGCATCAAGGCCTCTGGCATACCCCGCTTCGTCTGCGCACGCTCGGCCTCTTGCCGCTCCGCCCTTGCCGCGATGAACCGCGTGGTGCTCGCCGTGTGCGCCCTGGTGCTGTCCAGCCATGGTTGCGTCGCCGATGAGCAGACCACGACCATGGAGGAGCGCCGCCTGACGGACGACACCACCATGGCCGACGACACAACGAGCGCCGCGTCTCGCACCGGAAGCCCTGGCACCGTGCTCCTGGCGCTCCTCGCCTGTCTCTACGTGGGCAGCGCGGCGGGTGCGGCGCTGGACGAGTCCACCACGATGGCCGACGAGCGCCGCCTGACGGACACCACCATGGGCGACGACACGACGAGCGCCGCAGCTAGAGGCGGCGCCCTTGGCACCGTGCTCCTGGCGCTCCTCGCGCTCCTGTTCGTGGGCAACGCGGCTGGGGCAGCAGTGGACGAGTCCACCACGATGGCGGACGAGCGCCGCCTGACGGACACCACCGTGGCCGACGACACGACGAGCCCCGCGGCCCCCCGCGCGGCGTTCCGGACGGCGCCGCTGCTCGCCCTGGCTGCGGCGCTTGGTCTTGCAGCCCATCGCTAAGCCCTCCAAGCCTTGCTTGTCGAATTCCATTTTGGCCACTCCTTGTTTGGTGCAGCGGCAGCGAGCCCTCGCGAATGCCTGCGCTGCGGTCGAGGCATGTTGCCACGCCGCTCGTCTCCTCGAAAAGCGAGGGCCGGGAGGCGTGCAGTTGGTCACGGGCCGAAGCCAACCCCAGATGCAGCGGCCCTCGCAAAAGGCGCGGGCCGCCGGCGTCCCGGCGGGCGGCCGATCCACGCTGTCGTGCTACCCGTTCCCCGCGAATCTGAAGAATTCGGCCACGGACTTAAAGGGTTCCGTGCCGGATTTTCGGATACGGCATATGTTCAAGGCGGCAGCGAGTGCCAGGGTCGGCTTCCCACATCGAGCCCAGCTCTTGGATGCCCACACTACATGCCTTCGGATCAGCCAAAGTGCCAACTTGCCCTCGGACCCCCCCCAAAAAAAACGCCCCCAAGACAGCCCCAAGAGGGCCCCGAGAGGCCCCTCAGAGGACCCCAAGAAGCCCCAAGACGGCCAAAGGCCTCCAAGACGCCCCAAGACGGCCCAGAAGAGCCCCCGAGACGACCCAAGAGGGCCCCAAGACGGTCCAGAAGGGCCCCAATACGGTCCAAAAGGGCCCCCAAAGGGCCCCCAAGACGGCCCAGAGACGCCAAATAATAGAGCGAACTGTAACGTAAAAAGCTCTGAACACCAAGGCTCCCAAAAAGCGAGCGGTGCCAGGAGCTTTCTCGGGCACGTTTCTGCAACATTCTTTCTGTTCCTCCCGTGCCGGCCCAGGTGAGCGACGCGTTCTAAGGAGGGGCCCAGGGGAGTGGCGTAGGGTGGGAGATTCTGGATAACACCCCCCCCCCGCCCCCAAAGACGGCCCCAGAAGCGCCCCAAACGGCCCAAGATACTCCCAAGACGGCCCAAGGAAACCCCAAGAGAAGTCCAAGAGGGCTCCAAGACGGCCCAAGGGCGCTCGAAGAGAGCCCAAGACCACCCAAGAGCGTTCCAAGATGGCCCCAGATGGCCTCTTGAACGGTCCAAGAGAGCCTCAAGACGGCTCCAGAGGCCCTCCAAATGGCCCCCGAGAGGGCCTCAAGAGGCCAAACACATAGGTCTTCCTCAGGTTTTTGAAGGTGTTTCGGGTCATCGCCTTTTCTAACCCAGAACGGCCCAAGACGGCCCTAGAGGCCGCAAAGATCGTCCCGAGACGGCCCCAGAGGCCCCCCAAAGGGGACGCCCCCAAGACAGTCCGTAGCCTTCTGCATCAAGGCCTCTGGCATACCCCGCTTCGTCTGCGCACGCTCGGCCTCTTGCCGCTCCGCCCTTGCCGCGATGAACCGCGTGGTGCTCGCCGTGTGCGCCCTGGTGCTGTCCAGCCATGGTTGCGTCGCCGATGAGCAGACCACGACCATGGAGGAGCGCCGCCTGACGGACGACACCACCATGGCCGACGACACAACGAGCGCCGCGTCTCGCACCGGAAGCCCTGGCACCGTGCTCCTGGCGCTCCTCGCCTGTCTCTACGTGGGCAGCGCGGCGGGTGCGGCGCTGGACGAGTCCACCACGATGGCCGACGAGCGCCGCCTGACGGACACCACCATGGGCGACGACACGACGAGCGCCGCAGCTAGAGGCGGCGCCCTTGGCACCGTGCTCCTGGCGCTCCTCGCGCTCCTGTTCGTGGGCAACGCGGCTGGGGCAGCAGTGGACGAGTCCACCACGATGGCGAACGAGCGCCGCCTGACGGACACCACCATGGCCGACGACACGACGAGCCCCGCGGCCCCCCGCGCGGCGTTCCGGACGGCGCCGCTGCTCGCCCTGGCTGCGGCGCTTGGTCTTGCAGCCCATCGCTAAGCCCTCCAAGCCTTGCTTGTCGAATTCCATTTTGGCCACTCCTTGTTTGGTGCAGCGGCAGCGAGCCCTCGCGAATGCCTGCGCTGCGGTCGAGGCATGTTGCCACGCCGCTCGTCTCCTCGAAAAGCGAGGGCCGGGAGGCGTGCAGTTGGTCACGGGCCGAAGCCAACCCCAGATGCAGCGGCCCTCGCAAAAGGCGCGGGCCGCCGGCGTCCCGGCGGGCGGCCGATCCACGCTGTCGTGCTACCCGTTCCCCGCGAATCTGAAGAATTCGGCCACGGACTTAAAGGGTTCCGTTCCGGATTTTCGGATACGGCAGATGTTCAAGGCGGCAGCGAGTGCCAGGGTCGGCTTCCTACATCGAGCCCAGATCTTGGATGCCCACACAACATGCCTTCGGATCAGCCAAAGTGCCAACTTGTCTTCGGAAAATAAGAGGCCCCCAAGACAGCCCCAAGAGGGCCCCGAGAGGCCCCTCAGAGGACCCCAAGAGGCCCCTAGAGACCATTTCTTTGTTGCTTGGGGCATGACGGGCGTCATGGCCGCCGCCCCCCCCCCCGTATGACGTAACGCTCCCCACCAGTGCGCTCCGGGCACTGCCGCCGTACGCATTGGGATCCGCGTATGTGTCCGCGCAGCAGTCCGCATAGGAGTCTGGTCCGCAGTCGTCGTCGTCGTCGTCGTCGTCGTCGTCGTCGTCGTCGTCGCTCGTGGCTCGTGGCTCGTGGCTCGTGGCTCGTCACTCATTGTCGTCGTGCGCGCGGACGCGGCTGGAACCTTTTGTTATATTCCGGGCCGATGGCGGCAATCATCTGGGGGGGGTGGAGGGGGTCGACGGCGTCACGCTTCGCGCCGGCGGCGCCTGAAAATGCTTAGGAATGACGGAGGACGGGTGGCACCAGCATGTAGGTGGCGATCTGCACCACAACGCTTGTGTACGCTTCAGTGCCTGCGTGCACCACAGCGCCTGTGCGCACCACACCGCCTATGTACACCACAGCAGCCGCGTGCAACACAGCGTCAGTTTGTGCCACCGCGCGCGCGGGCACAACAGCTCTTGTGTACATCACAGCGCCTGCGTACACCACATCAGTCGTGTGCAACACAGCAGTGTACTCCACAATGCCTGCGTGCATTGTAGTGCCTGTGTACACCACGGCGCCTGTGTGCACCACAGCAACCGTGTGCAACACAGCACCAATTTTGTATGTAGAATTGTAAAAAGGAATCATTATGACAAAATGGAGCGTTTGTGGATTCCACCGGAAACGCCAGAAAAAAATCCGCGTGGACAAGGGATCGCCAGGGGAATCTTTGAGTCCTTCCGAGTTCGCCCGCGTCACCGTAACTCTTCCCATCTGCGTCCAGGAGGCTCCAGCTAAATTGGCTGTCGGAGAACCAAGTGGGCCGATTCAATCGACCATTCTGCGTTGCACGCTGGGTTGCGCACGTACGCTGTAGCGCCAACTCGTACGACAGGGGGCAAGGAAGAGGAGGAGGGGGAGGAGGAGGAGGAGGAGGAGGAAGAGAAAAAGGAGGAGGAGGAGGTGGAAGTGGAGGAAATTGGAAGAGGGAAAATCGGCGCATTCGATTATCAGCAGTTTTCTGGCGCGGCGCTTCCGCAGCAGATCCTCACGTACAAGGTCCTTCTACCTGTCCGATGCACGCCGGCATTGTGGTGTACAATAGCGCTGCGTTGCACGCGGATGCTGTGGTGTAGACAGGCGCTGTGGCGTGCACTGGCGCCGCGGTGCACGCAAGCACTGTGGTGTACTCAGGCCCTGTGTTGCACATGGTTGCCTCCGGTGTGCACATGTACACCAGCTCTGTAGTGTACGCAAGCACTGCAGTGTACACATGCGCTGCGTTGCACACGGTTGTTGCGATGTACGCAGGCGCTGTGGCGTACGCGCGCGTTGTGGTGCACGCGAGCGCTGTGGTGTACAGAGGCGCAGGGGGGCAGATCGCCACCTACATGCTGCTCGCGTCGTCGTCGTCGTCGTCGTCCTTGTCGCTTGTCGCTCGTCGCGTCGTGCGCGCGGGCGTGGCAGTGGTGCCGGAGCCAAAGGGCGGGTGTGGGCGTTATGTCATATTCCCCCGCCCCCCTCCATGACGCCCGTCATCGCCGAGCATAACGAAACGCTCTCCTAAGAAAGCCCCAAGACGGCCAACGGCCTCCAAGACGCCCCAAGACGGCCCAGAAGAGCCCCCGGGACGACCCGAGAGGGCCCCAAGACGGTCCAAAAGGGCTCCAAAAAGGCCCCCAAGACGGCCCAGAGACGCCAAATCATAGCGCGAGCTGTAACGTAAAAAGCTCTGAACACCAAGGCTCCCAAAAAGCGAGCGGTGCCATGAGCCATTTCGGGCGCGTTTCTGCAACACTCGTTCTGTTTGAACGATGTACGAGTGATGACGTTCTGGTGGGGCGAAGCCCTCTAGGGAGGGGCGTCGGGTGGGGAATTCTGGGTAACATTTCCCCCGCCCCCAAAGACGGCCCCAGAAGCGCCCAAAACGGCCCAAGATACTCCCAAGACGGCCCAAGGAACCCCCAAGAGAAGTCCAAGAGGGCTCCAAGACGGCCCAAGAGCGCTCGAAGAGAGCCCAAGACCACCCAAGAGCGTTCCAAAATGGCCCCAGATGGCCTCCTGGACGGCCCAAGAGAGCCTCAAGACGGCTCCAGAGGCCCTCCAAATGGCCCCCGAGAGGGCCTCATGAGGCCAAACGCATAGTTCTTCCTACGGTTTTTTTGGGGCGTTTCGGATTCTTGCCGTCTCGAGCCCAGAACGGCCCAAGACGGCCCTAGAGTCCGCAAAGATCGCCCCGAGACCCCCAAATGGACCGAACACTGTCTAAGAGGGCCCCCAGACGGTCCAAGAGGGCTACAAAACGGCCCAAGAGGGCCCCAAGCAGGCCCCACGAGAGCCCCAAGAGGGTCCCAAGAGGTTCTTCAGAGGACCCCAAGAGGCCCCCCAGAAAGCCCCAAGATGGCAAAGGCCTCGAAGACGCCCTAAGACTTCCAGAAGGGCCCCATGACAATCCAAACAGGCTCCAAAGGAGCCCCCGAGACGGCCCAGAGACGCCAAGTAAAAGAGCGAACGGTAACGTAAAAAGCCCAAAAGCGAAAGGTGCCATGAGGCATCTCGGGCACGTTTCTGCCCTTGGACGCCTCGTGAGCCGTCTTGGGGCTCTCTTGGGCCGTATTGGGGCCCTCTTGGGGGCTTTGGGGCCGTCTTGGGGCGGTTTTGGGGGCCTGTTGGGACGTCTTGGAGCGTCGGAAGCTCGAAAACTACATAACCCGCAAAACACAGAAACACCACACGACAATCATGGATGTTGGCCTCCCAGGGCCCTCTTGGGAAGGCTCTTGGAGGCCCCTTGGGATGTCTTGGGTGCTTGTTCGGCCGACTGGTGGGCCATCTTGGGGGCCTCTTGGGGCACATTTGGTCCTTATTGGGGCCCTTAGTGGGCCCGACAAGTCATGCGACAAGACGCGACGGGCCCCAAACGATAGGAGAATTTGGTGTCTGGGCCCAAAGAATCTTCAGGACTGACGGCTGAGGCTCAGGAGTTGATCAAGGCACCAGGAGACACTCCACTTCGGGCCACGGGCCCGGTGG